CTGTGACACTGGCCTGGGAAGAGAGACAGGAATAGGCAGGCCTGGTGTCTCGAGGACCCGGCCATGGAAGCCACGGGGTGAGATTTGGCTCCTGCTGGGTTCAGCATCTGCGTTAAGGTTGCCCCCAGATGAAGCAGGTATCCAAGGCTGCAGGCCCCTCACTGCATATGCTGGACTGTGGGTAATTCCCCACCCCACCGCTGAGCTCGGGTCCTCGAAATGACGAAAGTCATTTCCCACTTTCGTCAGGATGGATGGCTGTCTCTGAGCTCCTGAATTTTGCTGGCACAGTGGACTTCTGTGCCTACAGGAAGAGCCCCAGCTGTCATCCACAGGCTTCTCACTGTCCCCTATTGCCACCACCTATTTACTGACCAAGAGAAGAGTGTTCCACAGACAAAGAGCAGCCCAATGATAGAGCCATCATGGGCCTTGGGGGCACAGGGAGAAGAGCCACCTCCATCTCATGACAATGTATTGGGGTCCTGGGGTTACCTCAAAAAAGCCTGGCTAGTGAGCTACTATGCTCTTGGCAGGGGGAAGGGTGGGCTTTAAAAATGCTGGGCGATGGTGGCTCACACCTTTAATCCCAGCACTCAGGAGGCAGAGGCAGACGGATCTTTGTGAGTTTGAGGCCAGCCTGGTCTACAGAGCGAGATCCAAGAAAGGCGCAAAGCTACACAGAGAAATTCTGTCTCGAAAAGCCAAAATAAATAAATAAATAAAAATAAAAGTGGTAAATGTTCTCTTAGTGGGCTGGCATTTCAGTGAAGCCTCTTTCGGGGTGGGAGGCTCTTTAAGGGTATGATCTCTGAGTGGTAGGTGGTCTCTCACCATGTCTGTATACTCTTAAAAGATCTCTCAGTGAGGCAGGTTTGGTTTTCCATCAGGGCCCATGTGGCAAGCACCCTTCTGAAAAGAGTTTTGAGCATCCACTTTCCCCATAGACCCCACGGTCTTCTTCCTGGACACCGGTGGCTTTGAGGCCAAGTATGGGAGTGTATAGGGCATGGCCTGGTCTGAGGTAGAGAACCACTCTGTAGTGTTCACACTAGGCAGGTCTGTGGGCAAACAACTTTTTAGGTGAGAGCTAACACCTAAACTTAGGAGGCAGGGGAGGAGCTTTGTCCTGTTGGGATATAACTGGGTCATCCCCCTCTCTCCCAGGCCTGAGGTGAAGGTAGGCACCATGAAGTCTCAAAGGGGACAAGACCAGGTCCAATTCTCTTCTGAGCCTTATGGCCATCAGATGACCATAGCCCAGCCAAGAGCATAGTAGCTCACTAGCCAGGCTTTTCTGAGGTACCCCCAGAACCCCCTTACATTGTCATGAGATGGAGGTGGCTCTCCTCCCTGTACCCCCAAGGCCCATGATGGCTCCACCATTGGGCTGCTCTTTGTCTGTGGAACACTCTTCTCTTGGTCAGCAATAGGGGACAGTGAGAAGCCTGTGGAAGACAGCTGGGGCTCTTCCTGTAGGCACAGATGGCTACATACAGAACTAGCAAAATTCAGGGGCTGAGAGACAGCCCCACTAAGATACCGCTCCTTCTGAAATGACCATACCCCTTGAAATGACCATACCCACTGAGAGACCACATCCTCTGAGAGATCATCTCACTGACAAACCGCCCACTATTGACAGAAGATGCTCACTAAGAGACCACACCCCAGGCAAGCTATTGATCCAGGTAACTATGCAGGGTGGAAGGACAGGAGTTCAGGATACCCTCTGGGTCATGACAGACAAGTGAGGGGAGACCAGAAGGCTAGACCAGTCTCTGGTGCAGCTATGTCCCTCACCTCAGTCAGAAAACAGTACCCAGCAAAGGCCAGGGCCAAGGTAACTGATCCGTTTCACATAGCCAGAAGCAGTGGGACACTAAGATGCCTTGACTGGGGGCCCAGAAGTTCTAAGGTCTGGAGTCATCCCACCGGACACAGCTCCATGACTCCCTGACAGCACAGAGAACACTGAACTACACCAGGAACTTTCTGGCCAGGCTGGGTGCATAGACATAGACCTATTCCCAGTCATGTGATCCCCGTATCCTACCTGCCACACAAGCTACTGAGTCGACACTGGCTTCTAAGGATAGCGGGCCCTGACTAAGGAACCATGCCTTAGACACGGGTCCACAGCAGGTCGGGGGGCTGATTCAGCAGCTGTCTTTGTCATAGCCTCAGTGGCTGCCTGGTGTGCTGAGTGCCAGGATGAATGAGTTATCTCTTCATTTAAATGCAGATTTGGGAAGGAACCAAATCATTCTCCTCTTAAGAAATTGTCAGCATAAGTATGCATACCGAATTAGAGCAAGGTTATTTCAAGTCACTCCCGCCATCGGTTTTCCCACAGAAGCTGACAGAGCCCTGCTCAGCCCCAAAGTGCTGCTGCCTGCAGGACACACGATTAGCATGCAGCCTAGGCTCCCAGCCAGTGTGGAAGCCTGGGTCCCACACGGTTACAAATAGCAGCAACTTCCAGAACAGTTGTCTGTCTAGCGGAGGGCTCACTGCTTGGTCTGTGCCCACGGGCAGTGGGAAGCAAGCTGGTCAAAGAGGGTGCAAAAACACTGGTAGGGCCTCAGAGACCACCGGTGCTGGACTACAGGGCCATGCCCCACATCAGGTCACCGGGGCTATGGTATAGACACAGCCAGGCCCAATGCCACCCAGGACAAGGCTGTGGTGGCCCAACAGGGCTCAGGAAACCCCAGCTGTGGGTGGGACAGAGGCCCAGCCAAGGCCAACAAGGGCTGTATTAGTTCCCACAGCTTCTTACCCACTTTCGGCGTCCTCAGAGGGCCAAGCCAGCTGGCTCCAGGTGTCCCAGAGTCAAAGGAGAACCATCCATGCTGTTCCCATCATTCATGAACAAGGGAGGGTCTGAGGGCTAGAGACTGGATCTTGTGGTCCTGCTTACCACCGAGGCCTCTGCAGCGTACAAGGTGACACAACCACGCCCTGCTGAGGGCTCTTCCACCACAGGTCTCAGCCAGGCTCATCGGGACCGAAGGGGCAGCAGGACAGGCAGCTGTTGGAGCCTCAAGCCAAAAGACAGGACCTCTTCAAAGCTTCCACTCATAAACTCTTTAAAACACAAAGCTGACTGAGCCAGCACCCAGCAACACCAGAGTATGGTGTCTTCTTGGGGACAGTCACCGTGGGATTGTTTTTCCCCTGTGGGTACACCCAGCACCAGGTGGGGCAGCATCTCAAGTCGGGCTACTGTAGACCACCCTAGCTAGTGGCAGTGTCCTGAGGTCTGGTTCAGCAGCTCCTTCTTGCAGTTGGAAAATGGATTCACCAGAGCTCTTAAGCACCACGCAGTCTGCAGGTCACTGCCATGTACCAGGCTCCTGGTGGAACCAGGGTAGGGAGAGCAGAGAAGGCAGGGGATGGGGTCAGACCCTGATCGTGATGCTCTGCCCTGTCTGTCTTGTGACCCTCACCGGCAGCCGGGGCATCCCTGAGCTCCCTATCACCTGCCACAAGGCGGATTCCATGCAGCAAGGGGCTTCATCCCACAGCCTGCTGTGGCTCACAACTGCTTACTGTACAGTCTACCATGTGCCAGTCCATAACTGTCTACAGACAGGCATCAGCATGTGGCTGAAGCAAAGAAGAATCTCAGAAAGCCATGCAGTGTGGCCAAGTCCTACCCAACTTCTCCCTGGAGCTTCAGGCCCTAGGACCATCCCAACTCACACACCTGGTGGAAGCGTAGCACACCGGCAGCTTCATAGGCCTGCCTGCTCTAGCAGGGTCAGCAACGTGAGACACAGGCTCTGCCCTTTGTGCTAGGCGTGAGCCTCCAGCAGATCCAATGTGTGACCATCGTAGAATGAGATGAGCGAGCTCTTTCCAGCAGCCTGGGCTGTGCCCATCTAATTAGGCTCCCCAGTGTGATGCGCCTAAAGGGTCCCAAAGCAGAGTGGTACTGCCAGCCTACAGTGAGACTCCAGTAGTTCTTGGGTCTTGCTCTGGACCAGAAGAGGTTGTCTGTGGAGACCTGTTACAGATGGTCAGCCTGGTGCTCACCACCACCTCCTGGAGTACCTTTACTATCCTGTGTTTGAAGGCCTTTACTGGTCCCGCAGTTCTGACTGCCTTGGAGACCATGCTAGTGACTGGTCCCCTTCATATTATAGACAGAGTGCCACTTCCTTCGCTGACATGTGAGTCTTAGCTGGATGCTTGGACAACCGACTGGCATTGAGCTAGAGACTAAGGAGACTCAGAGGGCCCCTAAGATAGCATTTATCCAGGCTGAAAGCTCAGATCTTAAGGGCCTGCAGACACTAAGCCTAGCCTAGTACAAGCTGACACTGACTTCATCTCCTTTGGGAGGAGCTGGGATTCTGGGACGTTAGTCAGATGGGACCAACTGAGAAGAGACAGCCTCAAAATCCCGTGGTCCAGTACAGATTTTGGTTCTCATGTGCACACACCACTATGTGGCTGAGTGTCCATCTAAAAGGCAGACTTACGGTGCAATAGCATTTCACAGAAGCCTTCACGTTCCAACAACAGGTGTTTCCAAGAACCTCAGTGAGAAGTTAGGATCATGGCTGGCGACCCTATCTTAAGGAGGACAGAATCTAAATCTGCCCAGAGCACAAGAACCCAGAGACAAAGCACAGAAGACAGGGACCCCACTATGTTCCAGTGTAACATAGAGAGCTGGTAAAAGATTTGCTCTTTGGAGTGATCTAGCTAGGTATGCTGAGGTCCCTAGCCTCCTGCTGGCCACAGCATGGGGAGAGAGGCTGCTACAGGCCAGCATGAACAGGCGGACCATCCTCAAAGGAAGGAACACAGAGAAGGGACAGTGAGTAGACAGTGTCAGCTCAACCATGAGCTGGCCACACAGGCATCACAGATGAACATGCCCTACATGGAGGTCCAGAGGGACAGCAGCTACCCATGGCAAACAGTCTGAGATCTGTCGCCTGTACAAGCTGAAGTCACACATTGGGAGGGAGAAGCATTTATTAGAGACAAGTATCCCAGGACCTCCGGGAAGTAGAATGCCCCCTGTCTGTAGAACAGCTGACATTTTCTGTGCCCTCCCTCCAGCATCCTCAGAGTCTGGGAGCACATGCCAGTCCGTCCAAGCCCAGCACCAGGGCACCAATCAGAGCCAGGCTTGGGAAGGATGGTCTGGAAGCCACAGGCCCAGGAACTTAAGCTCATAGGAACTGGCTCATACAAAAGATTTTGCCGTGGGCCCCAATGTTCACACACAGGTTATCTATAGAGGCTCTAGCCTGAGGTATTCACATTCATCCTTGAGTCTGTCAGAATGTCCTTGCAGAGGCTCTCACTGGGAGAACTGACTTAGAAGGAATGAAATAAATGAAACTGACCTTGCTGAAAACCTTGTCCAAAATCATCCCCTGCCTCATGCATGACATATGATGAAGGAGCAGCAACTCTGGGATCCCAAAATTCTGGAGGCAGCCTCCCAGACCTCACCGCCCTACAGCTCCAGACAATCTGGATCTGGCTATGACTCCATGGGGGCACCCACTTGTCACAGTCCTCACAGCTGCTTGAAGGGAGCATTTAGGGGCTCAGAAGGACAAGAGCTGTGGTCCAAGTATGCTAAGGGTTGCCTGGGGGGTAAGTGCCCATCAGACACCCATACTCTGTGTCTGTACCTAAACCAAGAGAGTGCATCAGAACATATCCTCTCTTGCTTGAAGGTTTCAGGGATCCTAGGCCACGCTGGTCCAGAGCCTCGGAGCCAGAAGTCAGCCACCTACAAGTCATGTTGTAGCCATGCCCTCCAGGAAGTTTGTAGCTGCAGATGATGGGCTGTTTGGGCAGCTGAGGCAGCTGAGGAGGAAGAAAAAGGAAGTCAAGAAAGAGAAAAGGATGGAGGGGGAGAAGGGAACAATTGGAAGAAAGAGGGAGGAGAGGGGAGAAGGATGCCGCACATCACATACCCCTGTGTACAGGCTGACTTGGACAATTCTAAGGAGAGTCAGCAATGATAGGTAGAAAGCACGTGACTGCCACCACCCACCACCCAGCCTCCCACCCACCACCCAGTCCCACCACCCACCACCCAGCCTCCCACCCACCACCCAGTCCCACCACCCACCACCCAGCCCACCCACCCACCACCCAGCCCACCCACCCACCACCCAGCCCCACCACCACCACCCAGCCCCCCACCCACCACCCAGCCCCCCACCCACCACCCAGCCCCCCACCCACCACCCAGCCCCCCACCACCACCCAGCCCCACCCACCCACCACCCAGCCCCCCACCACCACCCAGCCCCACCCACCCACCACACTGCCTCCCACCCACCACCCTGCCTCCCACCCACCACCCAGCCTCCCACCCACCACCCTGCCTCCCACCCGCCACCTCTCATCCACCACCCTGCCTCCCATCCACCACCCAGCCTCCCATCCACCACCCTGCCTCCCATCCACCACCCAGCCTCCCATCCACCACCCTGCCTCCCATCCACCACCCAGTCTCCCATTACCCCTTCCTAACTAGAGCCTCCAGAAGGGAGAGGCAGCTGCTTTCCCCGGTCGCAAACAGTCACAACATTGACACCAGGAGAGGAGACTGTGCCAACCAGTGGGGCTCTGGTGATGTCTCACAGCACAGACACCAGACTCTCATGACCTCTGTGTCAAAACAGTTTCACGGATCCATTTGCAGGTCTGAGGTGACGTGGATATCAAGACCTTCAGATGCAGCCTGTTACTCCGAGCTCACTGAAACTGCTCCCCTGTGTCCAGCACCATGCAAGGGGCTGTGGTAGACACATGGAAGCTCCTGGGAAGGTGTCCCAGAATGGAGGCAGGTGGCAGGCACGGATTCCACCGGGACAAGGCAGGACGGAGCAAACACTGTCTTCACTGTCTCTGCCCTTCTTTGCCTTGGTTACCACCTGCGTCCTGTGCTATACTTTCTACTCCATGGTGTGCGAAGACCTGCAGTCAGCTTTCATAGTCAGTGAGGAGTTTCCCAGTGACCACAACATGCATCAGGAGCCTCCATCTCCTCTACTGTGCCATCCCACCTGTCTCTTCCCACTCCTCTCTCCTCCGCCCCCACTGCCCCCTGTGCAGGGAAGTCTGTAGACCATTAGAGCCCATCTGGAAATCCACTTGCTCCCTTCCAACATCTCACTGGGGGTTGCTCACTTGAGTGGTTTTACTTTTGATTCAAAAAGCTGACTTACCCTGGGTCTCCCCGCTCCTAGCACCTTGTTTTGGTGTATGGCTATGATGGCTTTCATCCTGAGGGGTCTGTCTAGGAGGGAGCTCTCTCTTGCCCCTCAGGTGGGTCTTCTAAGTGTCTAAGCATCTAAGTCAGTCCCCTGGCTGGGGCGGACATACCCCAGAGTGGGTCTACATGTGCAGTTACCATCCTATGCTAGTGTTTAGGGTTAGTAGGGACAGCCCCGGAACCTTTCTGGAGGACATCTTCACCTGCTTATCTTTAATTTGTTTCCATTTCTTTTCTTTCCATCCTCTCCAAATGCTCAGTAGGATGTAAAGCATCCTATCTTTCCACTGAGAAACAGAGTTCTCTACACCCCCTAAGATCAGCAACAACTTAAAACAAAGGAGATTGCTCTTCCTGTGTAAGGGAGCAGGAACCCCCAAATGGCCTGAAAGTGACTTCCTCTGGTCTGTATCATCTGGGTCTCCGGGAGGGTCAGGCAGTCTCTTCAAGGTAGGGAGCCAGTATGGCAGGCTCAGCCCTCTGTTGGAAACAGGACTGCCCTACTCAGCCGCAGGCACTTCCGGAAGCAGCTGGACACAAGCCATTCAGTCCATCCAAAGAGCCCGCCCACGTCTTTGCTCAAGTCACACTGACTGCTGTGCTGCCTGCACACTTATCCCTTCAACTTGGTGCTGGGGACATTGCACAAGAGAGGATGCGGCTCTCCATGTCACCTCTCCCATTGTGAATGGGACAGCTGCCTCAGGAAGGAACCCTCGGTTCAATGTGGTCTGCATGCCTCCCTATAGGACTCCCAGGGACACCACATGGAAAATCACAGTGAAACCATAGGACAGCAGATGACACAGACAAGCAGTCACCAAGGCAGGCATTCAGTCACCTGCTGGTTTGCACTCTCTAGCTGGTTGGTGGAGCTGGGACCCTCCTTACAAGAAGCATGTCCTCCTGTGACCTTCGCACAGCAGTGGGGATAACACACCTGTTATAGCTGCACATATGTGACATCTGTAGGGCCATCTTACTGCGATGAGCGGCAAGGTGATGGCTACCTGCTGAGTTGACATCCAGTGCCCAACCGAGAGGCTGAGGCTTTGGAATACCCCTGGCCAATGTGTGCCAAGAGACATTGGTAGAGAGCATGGATCAGCATCGTCCCTGGGCCCAGTTTCCCCCTGAGGGAGGAGCAGCTGCTCTTTCAACATTGCCTAACCACTGTGCAAATACTTTTTCCAGGCAAGTTAAATTAACACATCACATTCACTTTTCTTCTTTTACTGTTACATAATAGGGTAAAAAAAAAAAAATGCTCCCATTGTAAGTGAGCCAGCCAGGAACTGCAGCTCCTAAGACGGGGCTTCAATGCCACGCCCCACTAAGGCAGGCAATGAGGTCTAGTGTCACTGGACCACAGGCAAGGACAGCCCTCCCTGACTTGACCCCTACCTAAGAAGCTACTCGTCCATCAGGCAGTGGGGAACTGGAGACCCAGAGACTAGCTACCTGCCCTAGCAAGTCTTGGCTCTAATCAGCAGAGTCACCCTACCCTGAGTCAGGTAGAATCCCCAACAGTCAACCCCCGGGTCCGGTAGGATGCATACACCTGACAGGATGAATTGGCATAGTCGGTGGGGGTTTTAGCTGAGGGTCTCACATGAGAGACGTATTGACATAATGTGTTGTTGGTATAGTCAATAGGGATTTAGCTGAGGGTCCCACGTGACAGACATGCCTGACACAACACGCTATCACAGCCAATAAGAGTTCTAGCTGAGGGTCTCACAGGATGCTCCTGGTACAATTCATTGGTGCAATTGAGGGGGTTCTAGCACCTCAATTGTATGGTTCCAGTGACTGCTACAAAGCAGGTAAAAATCCACTCCAATGGCTACCTCATGGGCCATCTGTCCACAACTTAACAAGCCCACACACAGATTTCCATAGCCACCTGAGCTGCCCTCATCTCTAGAAAACACTCCCTGGCTCAGGAGCCCCAGAAGTGGTCAAGCCACCTGTGAAGGTCAGGCAGGTTCTTTCAGGTCACAGCAGCAGGAGTGAGACCAGAGCCTCTACTGGGAGCCTCTCAGGGAGTCTAGTCTGATTCCACACCCCTAGAGCACTGCAATGTTCAGACTGGTCTACTCCTATCTGGCCTGGCTTCAAACCACAGTCTCTCGGCCCATGAGCAACTATGGGATGGTCCACAATGATGGAGTGAGTACCTGACTTTCTCTGACTCATATCTAAATACGTGTTTTGATTCCCTAAGGATCTAAACCCAAACATTACAAGTCATTTCCCCTTAGTGACCTTCAGTGGCCCCAAGTGCCAGTCAGGTAACCCTGCCCCTCCTAACCACTCAGGCCTATGCATTCATAATTGGGATGAGCTCTGCCCCAGAATCTCATCACACCTTCTCTGCTGGTCCAGGGTCACAGTCAAAGACTGTCCCATCTGAGCATCAACTCCTCCTGGCCCACCCTCACATCTTCCCGCCTGTCAGCCAACACCCTGTCCTACAGTCGGCGGGTGTGAAGTGGACACTGGGTGATTTATATGGCCTGGATTTAGTTTTCCTATGCTCAGAGCACAGGGGGGAGAAAAGTGCTCTAAGAAATGAGGTCTTGTCACATTCCAGCTGCACAGTCAAAGGCAGACACCCCATTAGGAGGCCAATCATTTCTAAAGGTTAAATATGATGGTGCTTGAAAAATAATTCAAGCTGTTTAAATGTAGGGCACTGAAAAAAGTTCAGTCCAAGAATGCTCTCCGGCTCGAGGCAGGCAGCGTTTCCCTTAATGTTGAATAGGATGCAGTTTGCTCCCACCTCCTCCCTTGGGATGTGGGACACAGAGGTCTGGACTCGGCTGAAAGTCACATGGCTGGGCCTCTCCTCCTTGTGCCACTGACAGCTAAATGTTCTTTTAGCCAGCACAGCCTAGATGGCTGGGAGGATGAAGAAGTAGATGGATGGATAGATGAGTGTGTGGATGGGTAGATGAGTGTCCTGATTAACTTTTTTTTTTTAACTTAACATAAGCTAGAGCATTTGGAAAGACAGAGTCTCAGTTGAAAGAAAATGCCCCCATCGGACTGTCCTATGGGAAAGCTTGTGGTGTATTTTCTTGAGGTTATTGATGAGAGGGTTAGGCTCACTGTGGTGATGCCACCCCTGGGATAGTGGTCCTGGGTGCTATAAATAAAAAAAAAAAAGCACCCAGGCAGTGGTGGCGCACGCCTTTAATCTGAGTCAGGCGGATCTCTGTGAGTTGGAGGCCAGTTTGGTCTACAGAGTGAGGTCCAGGACAGGCACCAAAACTACACAGAGAAACCCTGTCTTGAAAAAGAAAAGGAAAAAGAAAAAAAAAGAAAGAAACAAAAAAAGCAGGCTGAGCAAGCCAGGAGAAGCAAGCCAGTAGGTAGCCCTCTTCCATGGCTTCTACTTCTGTTACTGCCTCCAGGTTCCTGATCTCTTTGAGTTCCTGCCCTGGCTTCCCTTGGTAGCAGACTAAATAAATAGATCCTTCCCTTCTCAAGCAGCTTTTGGTCATGGTGTTTCATCACATGGAAACCCTAAGACAATGGGCAGAGGATGGATGGGGAGGTGAGGGGGAGTGGATGG